ACTACTATACACTATACACTACACTATACACTACACTATATACTACACTATATACTACACTACACACTATATACTACACTATACACTACACTATACACTACACTATATACTACACTATATACTACAATATACACTACTACACTATACACTACACTACACACTACACTATACACTACACTATACACTACACTATACACTACACTATACACTACACTACTATACACTACACTATACACTACACTATACACTACACTACACTATACACTACACACTACACTACACTATACACTACACTACTATACACTACAATATACACTACTATAGACTACACTACTATACACTACACATTACACTACACTACTATACACTACACTATACACTACACTACTATACACTACACTAAACTACTATACACTACACTATACACTACACTACTATACACTACACTATACACTACACTGTACACTACACTATACACTACACTACTATACACTACACTATACACTACACTATAGACTAGACTATACACTACACTATAAACTACACTATACACTACACTACTATACACTACACTATACACTACACTATACACTACAATACTATACACTACACCATACAGTACACTATACACTACACTATACACTATATACTATACACTATACTATACACTATACACTACACTATAAACTACGCTATACACTACACTACTACACACTACACTATACACTACACTACTACACACTACACTATACACTACACTATACACTATACACTACACTATACACTACACTATACACTACACTATACACTATATACTATACTATACACTATACTATACACTACACACTACAATACACTATACACTACACTATACACTACACTACACTATACACTACACACTACATTACACTATACAGTACTATAAACTACACTATACACTACACTATAAACTACACTGCTATAGACTACACAATACACTACACTACTATACACTACAATATACACTACTATAGACTACACTACTATACACTACACATTACACTACACTACTATACACTACACTATACACTACACTACTATACACTACACTAAACTACTATACACTACACTATACACTACACTACTATACACTACACTATACACTACACTGTACACTACACTATACACTACACTACTATACACTACACTATACACTACACTATACACTACAATACTATACACTACACTATAGAGTACACTATACACTACACTATAAACTGTATACTATACTATACACTATACTATACACTACACTATAAACTACACTATACACTACACTATACAATACACTATACACTACACTACACACTACACTATACACTACACACTACACTATACACTACACTATACACTACACTACTATACACTACACTACTATACACTACACTATACACTACTATACACTACACTATACACTACACTATACACTACACTACTATACACTATACACTACACTACTATACACTACACTATACACTACACTACTATACACTACACTGTACACCACACTACTATACACTACACTATACACTACACTATACACTACACTACTATACACTACACTATACACTACACTACTATACACTACACTGTAGACCACACTACTATACCCTACACTATACACTACACTACTATACACTACACTATACACTACACTATACACTACACTACTATACACTACACTATACACTACACACTACACTACACTATACACTACACTATACACTACTATACACTATACACTACACTATACACTACACTATACACTACACTACTATACACTACACTACTATACACTACACTACTATACACTGCACTATACACTACACTATACACTACACTGTACACCACACCACTATACACTACACTATACACCACACTACTATACACTACACTACTATACACTACACTATAGACTACACTATACACTACACTACTAAACACTACACTATACACTACACTATACACTACACTACTATACACTACACTATACACTACACTATACACTACACTATACACTACACTATACACTACACTATACACTACACTACACTATAGACTACTATACGCTATACACTACACTATATACTACACTATACACTACACTATACACTACACTACTATACACTACACTACTATACACTACTATAAACTACACTATTATACATTGCACTATACACTACACTATACACTACACTATACACTACACTGTACACCACACAACTATACACTACACTATACACCACACTATACACTACTATACACTACACTATACACTACACTATACACTACACTACTATACACTACACTACTATACACTACACTACTATACACTGCACTATACACTACACTATACACTACACTGTACACCACACCACTATACACTACACTATACACCACACTACTATACACTACACTACTATACACTACACTATAGACTACACTATACACTACACTACTAAACACTACACTATACACTACACTATACACTACACTACTATACACTACACTATACACTACACTATACACTACACACTACACTACACTATAGACTACTATACACTATACACTACACTATATACTACACTATACACTACACTATACACTACACTACTATACACTACTATACACTACACTATTATACATTGCACTATACACTACACTATACACTACACTATACACTACACTGTACACCACACAACTATACACTACACTATACACCACACTACTATACACTACACTATACACTACACTATACACTACACTATACACTACACTATACACTACACTACACCATACACTACACTATACACTACACTACTATAGACTACACAATACACTACACTACTATACACTACAATATACACTACTATAGACTATACTGCTATACACTACACTATACACTACACTACTATACTCTACACTACTATACACTACACTAAACAAACGATACACTACACTATACACTACACTACTATACACTACACTATATACTACGCTATACACTGCTATAGACTACACTATACACTACACTACTATACACTACAATATACACTACACTATAGACTACACTACTATACACTAGACTATACACTACCCTACTATACACTACACTATAGACTACACTATACACTACTATACACTACACTATACACTACACACTACACTACACTATAGACAACACTATACACTACTATAGACTACACTACACACTACTATACACTACGCTATACACTACACTATACTACTATACACTACACTATACACTACACTATACACCACACTACTATACACTACACTACTATACACTACACTACTATACACTACACTATACACTACACTATACACTACACTACTATACACTACACTATACACTACACTATACAGTACACTATACACTACACTACTATACACTACACTATACACTACACTCACTCACCCACTCACTCACTCACCCACCCACCCACCCACTCACCCACTCACCCACCCACTCACCCACTCAAACCCTCACTCACTCACCCACTCACTCACCCACTCACTCACTCACCCAATCACCCACTCACTCACCCACCACTCACTCCCTCACCCACTCACTCACCCACCCACCCACTCACTCAAACTCTCACCCACTCACTCACTCACCCACCCACTCACTCACCCACTCACTCACCCACTTACCCACTCACTCACCCACTCACTCACCCACCCACTCACTCATTCACCCACTCACCCACTCACTCACCCACCCTCTCACCCACTCACCCACTCACTCACCCACTCACCCACTCACTCACCCACTCACCCACCCACTCACTCAACCACTCACCCACTCACTCACCCACTCACTCACTCACCCACTCACTGACCCACTCACCCACTCACTCACCCACCCACTCACTGACCCACTCACCCACTCACTCACTCACCCACTCACCTACCCACTCACTCACCCACTCACTCACTCACTCACCCACTCACCCACTCACTCACCCACTCACCCACTCACTCACCCACTCACCCACTCACTCACTCACCCACTCACCCACCTACTCACCCACTCACCCACTCACTCACTCACCTACTCACTCACCCATTCACCACTCAACAACCATCCCATCTGGGATGGAACCCACGACCTCCAGTAGACCAGGCGAGGTAGTCAACATCTCACAGGGTCTGGGATCGAACCCACGACCTCCTGTAGACCAGGCGAGGTAGTCAACATCTCCCAGGGGCAGGGATCGAACCCACGACTTTCTGTACATCAGGCGAGGTAGTCAACATCTCCCCTAGGTAAGATGGCGGCCCTTGGCGACGCTTCAGTGACGCGACACGCTGGGTGGCGGTGACGTCTTCAAACGAGACCACGCTCCCACCGATTCCCCTGACCAAGATGGCAGCCTCAACGTCACCCGAGGGAGCCCTGAGCAACATGGCCGCGTTGGAGGGAGACACGGGTGAAGACAGTGGGGCGGTGACGTCATTGACAAAGGCCCCGCCCCTCTCCCAAACCACGCCCCCTCCCCCGGAGCCCGCTTGACCAACATGGCGGCCCCGGCGTCACTAGAGAGAGCCTTAAGCAACATGGCGGCGATGCAGGGAGACATGGGAGAGACACAGAGAGACATGGGAGAGACACAGAGAGACACGGACAGACAGGGAGACACGGACAGACAGGGAGACATGGGAGAGACACAGAGAGACACGGGAGAGGGACAGGGAGACATGGGAGACACACAGAGAAACACGGGAGAGACACAGAGAGGAGACACAGAGACACAGGGAGACACGGACAGACAGGGAGACACGGACAGACAGGGAGACACGGACAGACAGGGAGACAAGGTGACACAGAGAGACACGGGGAGACAGGGAGACATGGGGACACAGAGAGACACGGGAGAGACACAGAGAGACACGGACAGACAGGGAGACAAGGGGGAGAGACAGATAGGAGACACAGAGACACAGGGAGACACGGGGAGACAGGGAGACACGGGGGAGAGACAGAGAGGAGACACGGTCGGACAGGGAGACGGGGGAGAAGACGATGACTTGGACGATCTTCTGGACAGTGAGTACAGTGCCGTCTCACGCTTTGCGCAAAGTTCACAGTGTACAGTGTGCACAGTTTAAAGGCGCTTCATACAGTGTGTACAGTGTGTACAGTTTCAATGTGCGCTTTGTACAGTGTGCACAGTGCGCACAGTGTCAATGTGCGCTTTGTACAGTGCGTACAGTGCGTGCAGTTTCAATGTGCGCTTTGTACAGTGTGTACAGTGCGTACAGTTTAAATGTGCGCTTCGTACAGTGTGTACAGTGCGTACAGTTTGGAGGTGCGCTTCGTACAGTGTGCAGTATGTGCAGAACCGCTTTGTGTACAGTGCCCCACCCACCCCCACCACCACCCCCCACCATCCCCCACCACCACCACCCCCCACCACCACCACCACCCCCCACCACCACCACCCCCCACCACCACCACCCCCCACCACCACCACCCCCCACCACCACCACCCCCCACCACCACCACCACCCCCCACCACCACCACCCCCCACCACCACCACCCCCCACCACCACCACCACCCCCCACCACCACCCCCCACCACCACCACCCCCCACCACCACCACCACCACCACCCCCCCCCCACCACCATCACCACCACCACCACCCCCCACCACCATCACCACCACCACCACCCCCACCACCACCCCCCACCACCACCCCCCCCACCACCCCCCCCACCACCCCCCCACCACCCCCCCCACCACCCCCCCCACCACCACCACCACCCCCCACCACCACCCCCCACCACCACCTCCACCACTACCCCCCACCACCCCCACCACCACTACCCCCCACCACCACCCCCACCCCCCACCAAGGTGCCCTGGAGGACTTTGGGAAGCCGCCTCCCCCCGTGTCACTTCCTGCCACCGAGCCGACCAATCACGGTGGAGCAGAGGAGGAGACCCGGAGCAGCGAGGAGAAGGTGAGGGGTGGTGGTGACGTCACAATGGGGGTGGTGGTGACGTCACAATGGGGGGAGGGGGGTGTCACGTCACAATGGGGGGGGTTGGTGATGTCACATCTGGTTGGATGGGAGATGCATCGTCATGGTAACGGGATCGAACCCACGGACCTCCTGCAGACCGGGCGAGGTAGTCAACATCTTACAGGGTCTGGGATCGAACCCAAGGACCTCCTGTAGACCAGGCGAGGTAGTCAACATCTCACAGGGTCTGGGATCGAACCCACGACCTCCTGTAGACCGGGCGAGGTAGTCAACATCTCCCAGGGTCTGGGATCGAACCCACGACCTCCCGTAGACCGGGCGAAGTAGTCAACATCTCCCCAGGTCTGGGATCGAACCCACGACCTCCAGTAGACCAGGCGAGGTAGTCAACATCTCACAGGGTCTGGGATCGAACCCACGGACCTACTGTAGACCAGGCGAGGTAGTCAACATCTCCCAGGGTCTGGGATCGAACCCACGGACCTCCTGTAGACCAGGCGAGGTAGTCAACATCTCCCAGGGTCTGGGATCGAACCCACGGACCTCCTGTATACCAGGCGAGGTAGTCAACATCTCACAGGGTCTGGGATCGAACCCAAGACCTCCTGTATACCAGGCGAGGTAGTCAACATCTTTGTCCTGGAGTAGCAATTAAATATTCTCCGTGTCTCTCTCTCCCCGTGTCTCTCTCCCCGTGTCTCTCTCTCCCCGTGTCTCTCTCCCCGTGTCTCTCTCCCCGTGTCTCTCTCTCCCCGTGTCTCTCTCCCCGTGTCTCTCTCCCTGTGTCTCTCTCCCCGTGTCTCTCACTCCCTGTGTCTCTCTCTCCTCGTGTCTCTCTCTCTCTCTCTCCCTGTGTCTGTCTCCGTGTCTCTCTCTCTCTGTCTCCGTGTCTCTCTCTCCCCGTGTCTCTCCCTGTGTCTCTCTCCCCGTGGCTCTCTCCCCGTGTCTCTCTCCCCGTGTCTCTCTCTCCCCGTGTCTCTCTCTCTCCCCGTGTCTCTCTCTCTCTCTCCCCATGTCTCACTCTCTCCCCGTGTCTCTCTCTCCCCGTGTCTCTCTCTCCCCGTGTCTCTCTCTCCCCGTGTCTCTCTCCCTGTGTCTCTCTCCCCGTGTCTCTCTCTCTCCCCGTGTCTCTCTCTCTCCCCGTGTCTCTCTCTCCCCGTGTCTCTCTCCCCCCATGTCTCTCTCTCTCCCCGTGTCTCTCTCTCCCCGTGTCTCTCTCCCGTGTCTCTCTCCCGTGTCTCTCTCCCTGTGTCTCTCTCTCCCCGTGTCTCTCTCTCTCTCTCTCTCCGTGTCTCTCTCTCCCCGTGTCTCTCCCCGTGTCTCTCTCTCTCTCCCCGTGTCTCTCAGTGGCTGATGGATCTGTTAGGAGGCGTTGGGGATCTGGGCGACGATCTGGGCGAGGGAGGTGATCTCCCGTGTCTCTCTCTCACTCCCCGTGTCTCTCTCTCTCCCCGTGTCTCTCTCCCGTGTCTCTCTCCCCGTGTCTCTCTCCCCGTGTCGCTCTCTCCGTGTCTATCTCTCACTCCCCGTGTCTCTCTCTCTCCCCGTGTCTCTCAGTGGCTGATGGATCTGTTAGGAGGCGTTGGGGATCTGGGCGACGATCTGGGCGAGGGAGGTGATCTCCCGTGTCTCTCTCTCACTCCCCGTGTCTCTCTCTCTCCCCGTGTCTCTCTCCCGTGTCTCTCTCCCCGTGTCTCTCTCCCCGTGTCGCTCTCTCCGTGTCTATCTCTCACTCCCCGTGTCTCTCTCTCTCCCCGTGTCTCTCAGTGGCTGATGGATCTGTTAGGAGGCGTTGGGGATCTGGGCGACGATCTGGGCGAGGGAGGTGATCTCCTGCAGCAGCTCCAGCGACTGGCGACCTCCGCACAGAGAGTGGGTGAGAGAGACACGGGGAGAGAGACACGGGGAGAGATACACGGGGAGACACGGGGAGAGAGACACGGGGAGAGAGTCACGGGGAGAGAGAGACACGGGGAGAGAGAGAGAGACATGGGGAGAGAAACACGGGGAGAGAGAGAGACACGGGGAGAGAGACACAGGGAGAGAGAGACACGGGGAGAGAGAGAGACACGGGGAGAGAGTCACGGGGAGAGAGAGACACGGGGAGAGAGAGAGAGACATGGGGAGAGAGACACGGGGAGAGAGAGAGACACGGGGAGAGAGACACGGGGAGAGAGAGACACGGGGAGAGAGTCACGGGGAGAGAGAGAGACACGGGGAGAGAGAGAGAGACACGGGGAGAGAGACACGGGGAGAGAGAGAGACACGGGGAGAGAGACACGGGGTGAGAGAGAGACACGGGGAGAGAGACACGGGGAGAGAGAGAGACACGGGGAGAGAGACACGGGGTGAGAGAGACACGGGGAGAGAGACACACGGGGAGAGAGTCACGGGGAGAGAAAGACACGGGGAGAGAGAGAGGGACACGGGGAGAGAGACACGGAGAGAGAGACACGGGGAGAGAGACACGGGGAGAGAGAGACACACGGGGAGAGAGAGACACACGGAGAGAGAGACACGGGGAGTGAGAGACACGGGGAGAGAGAGACAGGGAGAGAGACACGCGGAGAGAGACACGGGGAGAGAGAGACGGGGAGAGAGACACGCGGAGAGAGACACGGGGAGTGAGAGACAAGGGGAGAGAGAGACATGGGGAGAGAGAGACACGGAGAGAGAGACACGGGGGGAGAGAGAGAGAGACACAGGGAGAGAGAGAGACACGGGGAGAGAGAGAAACACAGGGAGAGAGAGACACGGGGAGAGAGAGAGAGACACGGGGAGAGAGAGAGAGACACGGGGAGAGAGACACGGAGAGACACGGGGAGAGAGAGAGGCACGGGGAGAGAAAGACACGGGGAGAGAGACACACGGGGAGAGAGAGACACGGGGAGAGAGAGAGACACGGGGGAGAGAGACACGGGGAGAGAGACACGGGGAGAGAGAGACACGGGGAGAGAGAGACACGGGGAGAGAGAGACACGGGGAGAGAGAGAGACACGGGGAGAGAGAGAGGCACGGGGAGAGAGAGAGTCACGGGGAGAGAGACACGGGGAGAGAGAGAGACATGGGGAGAGAGAGAGACACGGAGAGAGAGAGAGACATGGGGAGAGAGAGAGACACGGGGAGAGAGAGACATGGGGAGAGAGAGACACGGGGAGAGAGACACGGAGAGAGAGAGACACGGGGGGGGAGAGAGACACGGGGGGAGAGAGAGACACGGGAAGAGAGAGAGACACGGGGAGAGAGAGACACGGGGAGAGAAAGAGACACGGGGAGATAGACACGGGGAGAGAGAGAGACACGGGGAGAGAGACACCGGGAGAGAGAGACACACGGAGAGAGAGACACGGGGAGTGAGAGACACAGGGAGAGAGAGACGGGGAGAGAGACACGCGGAGAGAGACACGGGGAGAGAGAGACGGGGAGAGAGACACGCGGAGAGAGACACGGGGAGTGAGAGACAAGGGGAGAGAGAGACACGGGGAGAGAGAGACACGGGGAGAGAGAGACACGGAGAGAGAGACACGGGGGGAGCGAGAGAGAGACACGGGGAGAGAGAGAGAGACACGGGGAGAGAGAGAAACACGGGGAGAGAGAGACACGGGGAGAGAGAGAGAGACACGGGGAGAGAGAGAGAGACACGGGGAGAGAGACACGGAGAGACACGGGGAGAGAGAGAGGCACGGGGAGAGAAAGACACGGGGAGAGAGACACACGGGGAGAGAGAGACACGGGGAGACAGAGAGACACAGGGGGAGAGAGACACGGGGAGAGAGACACGGGGAGAGAGACACGGGGAGAGAGAGACACGGGGAGAGAGAGACACGGGGAGAGAGAGACACGGGGAGAGAGAGAGACACGGGGAGAGAGAGAGACACGGGGAGAGAGAGAGTCACGGGGAGAGAGACACGGGGAGAGAGAGAGATATGGGGAGAGAGAGAGACACGGAGAGAGAGAGAGACATGGGGAGAGAGAGAGACACGGGGAGAGAGAGACATGGGGAGAGAGAGACACGGGGAGAGAGACACGGAGAGAGAGAGACACGGGTGGGGAGAGAGACACGGGGGGAGAGAGAGACACGGGAAGAGAGAGAGACACGGGGAGAGAGAGACACGGGGAGAGAAAGAGACACGGGGAGATAGACACGGGGAGAGAGAGACACGGGGAGAGAGACACCGGGAGAGAGAGACACGGGGAGAGAGAGCCACGGGGAGAGAGAGACACGGGGAGAGAGAGGCAGGGAGAGAGACACGGAGAGACACGGGGAGAGAGACGCACGGGGAGAGAGAGACACGGGGAGAGAGAGAGACGGGGAGAGAGGGACACGGGGAAAGAGAGACACGGGGAGAGAGAGAGACACGGGGAGAGAGAGACACGGGGAGAGAGAGACACGGGGAGAGAGAGACACGGGGAGATAGAGACACGGGGAGAGAGAGACACGGGGAGAGAGAGACACGGAGAGAGAGACACGGAGAGAGAGAGACACGGGGAGAGAGAGACACGGCGAGAGAGAGAGACACGGGGAGAGAGAGACACGGGGAGAGAGACACGGGGAGAGAAAGAGACACGGGGAGAGAGAGAGACACGGGGAGAGAGAGACACGGGGAGAGAGAGACACGGGGAGAGAGAGAGACACGTGGAGAGAGAGACACGGAGAGATAGACACGGGGAGAGAGAGAGAGACACGAGGAGAGAGACATGGGGAGAGAGAGACACGGGGAGAGAGAGACACGGGGAGAGAGAGAGACACGGGGAGAGAGAGAGACACGGGGAGAGAGAGACACGGAGAGAGAGAGACACGGGGAGAGAGAGACACGGGGAGAGCGAGAGACACGGGGAGAGAGAGAAACACGGGGAGAGAGAGAGACACGGGGAGAGAGAGAGACACGGGGATAGAGATAGACACGGGGAGAGACAGACACGGGGAGAGAGAGACACGGGGAGAGAGAGACACGGGGAGAGAGAGACACGGGGAGAGAGACACGGGGAGAGAGACACAGGGAGAGAGAGAGACACGGGGAGAGAGAGACACGGGGAGAGAGAGACACGGGGAGAGAGAGACACGTGGAGAGAGAGACACGGAGAGAGAGACACGGAGAGAGAGACACGGGGAGAGAGGGAGAGACACTGGGAGAGAGACATGGGGAGAGAGAGACACGGGGAGGGAGAGACACGGGGAGAGAGAGAGACACGGGGAGAGAGAGAGACACGGGGAGAGAGAGACACGGGGAGAGAGAGACACGGGGAGAGAGAGAGACACGGGGAGAGAGAGAGACATGGGGAGAGAGAGACATGGGGAGAGAGAGAGACACGGGGAGAGAGAGAGACACGGGGAGAGAGAGAGAGACACGGGGAGAGAGTGTGACACGGGGAGAGAGAGAGACACGGGTAGAGAGAGACACGGGGAGAGAGAGACACGGGGAGAGAGAGACACGGGGAGAGAGAGACACGGGGAGAGAGAGACACGGGGAGAGAGAGACACGGGGAGAGAGAGACACGGAGAGAGAGAGACACGGGGAGAGAGAGACACGGGGAGAGAGAGACACGGGGAGAGAGACACGGGGAGAGAGACACGGGGAGAGAGAGACACGGGGAGAGAGACACGGGGAGAGAGACACAGGGAGAGAGAGAGAGACACGGGGAGAGAGACACGGGGAGAGAGAGACACGGGGAGAGAAAGAGACACGTGGAGAGAGAGACACGGAGAGAGAGACACGGAGAGAGAGACACGGGGAGAGAGAGAGAGAGACACTGGGAGAGAGACATGGGGAGAGAGAGACACGGGGAGAGAGAGACACGGGGAGAGAGAGAGACACGGGGAGAGAGAGAGACACGGGGAGAGAGAGACACGGGGAGAGAGAGACACGGGGAGAGAGAGAGACACGGGGAGAGAGAGAGACACGGGGAGAGAGAGAGACACGGGGAGAGAGAGACACGGGGAGAGAGAGAGACACGGGGAGAGAGAGAGACACGGGGAGAGAGAGAGAGACACGGGGAGAGAGAGAGACACGGGGAGAGAGAGACACAGGGAGAGAGAGAGACACGGGGAGAGAGAGACACGGGGAGAGAGAGAGACACGGGGAGAGAGAGAGACACGGGGAGAGAGACACGGGGAGAGAGAGAGACACGGGGAGAGAGAGAGACACGGGGAGAGAGAGACACGGGGAGAGAGAGACACGGGGAGAGAGAGAGACACGGGGAGAGAGAGAGACACGGGGAGAGAGAGACACGGGAAGAGAGAGAGACATGGGGAGAGAAAGAGACACGGGGAGAGAGAGAGAGACACGGGGAGAGAGTGTGACACGGGGAGAGAGAGAGACATGGGTAGAGAGAGACACGGGGAGAGAGAGACACGGGGAGAGAGAGAGACACGGGGAGAGAGAGACACGGGGAGAGAGAGACACGGGGAGAGAGAGACACGGGGAGAGAGAGACACGGAGAGAGAGAGACACGGGGAGAGAGAGACACGGGGAGAGAGAGACACGGGGAGAGAGACACGGGGAGAGAGAGACACGGGGAGAGAGACACGGGGAGAGAGACACAGGGAGAGAGAGAGAGACACGGGGAGAGAGAGACACGGGGAGAGAGAGACACGGGGAGAGAAAGAGACACGTGGAGAGAGAGACACGGAGAGAGAGACACGGAGAGAGAGACACGGGGAGAGAGAGAGAGACACTGGGAGAGAGACATGGGGAGAGAGAGACACGGGGAGAGAGAGACACGGGGAGAGAGAGACACGGGGAGAGAGAGACACGGGGAGAGAGAGAGACACGGGGAGAGAGAGACACGGGGAGAGAGAGACACGGGGAGAGAGAGACACGGGGAGAGAGAGAGACACGGGGAGAGAGAGAGACACGGGGAGAGAGAGAGACACGG